CGAAAATTATGTTTAAATTATTATCTTTTGTGCTAAGATAATTATTGGTTAAAGTGGTAAGAAATTGCCTCAGATCACACCACAGAGCATCGAAAATCCAATTTTTTTCGGGGCCCTTAAGCGGGCCCCGAACCCCACGCCAATAGCTCAGAATACCGATAGCTGATTCAATGTCTCCAACCTCGAAAACGATGTTCAAATAATTATCTTTTGCCAAGAAAATATTAGTTAAAGCATGGAGGAAAGTCGTAAGAAATTGCTTCAAATCACACCACAGAACATCTAGAATCCAATTTTTTTCGGGGCCCTTAAGCGGGCCCCGAACCCCACGCCGTAAGGGATTCGCGCTTGCATCAGTTATGATCAAGGTATGTCCCCCCCCCCCCACTTTTGAGAAGCGATTGACGCCCCTGCTTGACGCCCCCCCCCATGAAATGTTCCAGCCCCCCCCCCCCCCCCCCCAGCGCCCCCCCACTGAAAAATTCCTGGCTACGCCACTGGTTACTGTCAGGTTTCAACATTTGTTCCTTAATGTGAAAGTTACAGAAGCGTATTTAGGACATGCCCAAACAAAATGCTGGCCCACTATTTTGCCCGGGCGAATTACTATTTCGCCCTGGCGGAGTCACTTTTTCGTCCGGGCGGATTACTATTTCGCCCGGGCGGATAACTATTCCGCCCGGGCGGATTACATTTTGAGCTGTTTTTGAGCTCAAAACATCTCTTATTGATCCAAGTTGGGAATTAGGAATATTTTGGGGCGCTCAATATTTTGTTGAACTTTTGTTGGGTAATCGATCGGGCTGTTGATCTAACATGTTCAAGTAAAGGAGGGGGTGATCTGGACAATTGTATTCTTTGCCGCAACTGTCTTCAAAGCGGTTCATAAAATAAACTTGAAACTTGGGACTGAACATCCTGACACCGAGTGATACATATTACCGTGACGTTGTTGTGACGTCATCAGGCATTCCAATATATTTTTAACGTGATTTACTTTCATTTATAAATCATGAACTAAACGGGAAAAAAATTCATGTTAAATTTGGTATATACGTGCTTTTTCCAAAGTTCGATTTTATTTTTCGAACGAATATAATATGCCTTCTAAGAAATAAATTTGCTTGTTTGCTTTTTTTAGGCCTTTATATAAAAGGGGTATTTAAATGGCGTGCTCTAGTTCAGAAATTGCGCACACTATTCAGAACGGATTAGGAGCATCCCACTCTTTATTCAAAAGTTCAATTTAATTAATTGTTCACCTGTCACGGGCCGATTTTTGATGTGGTGCGATGCCTCATTGGAAAGCCCATAACTAATGTAAAGCTAGAAAAGTATCAATTCAATTTGCAAATCTATTGAACAAGGTGCCATACCCCAGAAGTACCAACTTTAATGCTCTCTTATCTGATCGACCAGACATTGATAAACAGTGTCGTAAATATTATACCACCCCGCCCCACGTTTTGACCAGGGGGGGGGGGGGGGGGGGGTATTTAACCCCCTTGTTCATGATGAGAAACGAACAAAAATGCCGAGTACGACGTATTTAACGAACTTCCAAACTAAATGCAATCAATATCACTGAAAATGGAATCACAAAAATATACAATAAAGCATAAAATGCGACGTTTTGATCATATATACGCCAGTATACGTAATGTACACGTGTATCATCAACAGTATACCCCCTAGTGTAGTATGTTGTCCAGCACCCCCCCCCCCCCCCCCCCCCCGCCCCCGGCCCACATTTTTCGAATTTCCACGGCCGGTGTCATATGAAAATCCGACTCCAATAATCGGACACCTTTTCCCTATTATTGGTTAATCCCTCGCACATGACAGGTCACTCTCCTATTATGATACTAAAAATAGCATATAATCGTATGGAGTCGGATATTCATATTGCATTTGAGATTAAACAGCTCAAAGAAACCTGTTGGCGTTCAACTTTGAGCTAATAATTATATTACTACCCATAATTATATATGTATAATAATGGGCCCATAATGTTAATAACAATCGGCGCGTAGTTTCATATCTACCCCTTAATTTTGTCCCATAGGCTATGTAATAACTGAAGTGACCCGTATTGTTTACAATTATGGTGTTTTTGATCTATAATGTAATCAGAAGGACCGAGATGTAGTAAGTATGAATTTGCCACTATTTAGGGACAAAATATGAATTTGCTTGTTTTTATGATGATTTTGGGGAGCTTCATATTTTTAGAGACTTTTGTCGGGTGATCGGGCTGTTAATATCAATTTTGAAGGATGATTTGGACAATAGTTTTCTCCGCTACCAAACGGTTCATATTATGAACTTGAAAGTTGGACTGAACATCAGTTCCGAGTCATATTACCGTATAGATATTACCGTGACGTTATTATGACGTCATCAGGTATTACCGTAGGACTGATTTTCTTCATAAACCTGACTTTCGTTAACTTATAAGTTTTGAATTGAATGACAAAATTATAGTTATTTAATGTTATCTGAAGGACTATAGATATTGATAATTATATTACATTCTCCAGGCAAAGTCGCTTGACCTCTCCTCTGGGTAGGCACCGGGACGACAAACTTAACGTCAAAATATAGACACAATCCTTAAATATATACCTTTTTTGAAAATGTGGACAAATTGTGTGATGTCATCAAGACGTTACCGGGAATCAAATTGCAAGTGATTTAATGTTAGAAAGTGAAAAAAATACTCTGAACCCAGTTGCAATGTACCGCGTACATTTGTTATTTTGTGTGATGGATATTGCCTTGGGCAACTGTTTGATGCGCAAATAAAATGTGTCATAAAACCTTTAAAACTCAAAGAAATCAGTTTTCAAATTTAAAATTGGAAGAGGCTTCATTTTTTTGTTATAGAAATGGGTGCCTGATTGCCATGCTCTTGTGGCAAAAACAAACGCACAATTCCGAGTTCCATTTTACTTTTTGTGGAAACTGATTCTCCCAGTCTTGTCCTGTTCAAATTGATATCACATAATTATCAAGTTGAAAAGTAGACTTTTATTTCAGGGTTGCAGTAAGGTCAAGTCAAGTAAACTCAAAACACAAACAAAAGCCTCAAAACAAATAACAGTATCATTTTGCCCAGGTCCACTGTCCAATAAGGATATAAAATAAGTTTTTAGTCATGGTCATGAGATATTTATTTGGTAACAATATCGTGACGTCATATACATACCTAAATCGGCATTGGTAATTTTTTAAAAATGTTATAGCAAATGGTTAAATACTTGAAGGTGCTGCTAGAGGGCCCTCGTTTAGGTTATGACGTCATCAAGTCATCTTCATACTGTGTTTTATGGTCATCCGTGATCCCTCGACCCATTTTGAATTGTTTTTAAATAGGAGGCGTCTGTCTGCATTTTTAATTAATCAAGTTTGACCTTCCGGTTGACCCGGACCCGGAAGTAATGGTCAACCGACTTTGTTATTGGATATCAAATATATTTATCAATGTCAACAAAAAGTAACACGATTTTTGTTCATGTTGTTTATAAGTTACAGTGATCAAACTCATATTCTTAAAGATACCGCTTGTACATGTATTATGTTGTGCCAGATGACGTCAAAATGAAGTGACAGTAATGGGACGTCAGGATAAGATTCAAGTTAATGTTGCTTTGAAGAAAGGTTGCAGATAATTTTTGTCAAATTAATCCCAAAAACGTTAACATTAACAAACCATTATTATCACCTTGAAAAGTTGCAAGTTCCTCGAAATGTCCCTAAATAGCAGGATTCTGCAAATGCATACTTTATATTAAATTGCGGATCTTCTTCTCATTACTTTACAGATTCAAAACACGTGAACTTTACGGGTCACTAAGTTATTACATATATATAGGCCTAATGGGACGAAATTTAAGGGTGCATGGATATTACATTACGCGCCGACTAGTGTTATTAACATGATGCGTGGATTAGGCCCATTACTTTAATTACGGGTAGTAACATTAAGCCAAAAGTTGAACGCCAACGGATTAATTTGAGCTGTTTTTTTTAGCTCAAAAACAATATATTGATCAATATCTGGTCGATCAGATATTCTGAACTGGCCGAGCGTGCCATTAAAAACCCCTTTTTAAAAGGTCTGAAAAAGCGAGCAAGCCAATTTAGGCCCTACATTCCTTTAAATTTCGTTCGGAAAATAAAATCGAACTTTAAATGAACACAAATTACGTTAAAAAAACATAATAATAATCACAATGACGTCACGGTAGTATATACTACTCTATGTCAGGATGTTCAGTCCAAGTTTAAAGTTTATGATGTGAGCCGTTTTGAAGAAAAGTTTCGGAGAATAATACTATTCTTCAAATCATCCCCCAACTTGAAAAAGTGAGATTAACTTGAGCCTGCGTTACCCCAACAAAAGTTTTTAAAATATATAAAGCGCCCCAAATGTTACTAAAATACTAGCAAATTCATACTAATTCCACAATTGGGCTAAATAGAGCTGTTTTGAGCTAAAAAGAGCTCAAATGTGGTCCGCCCGGGCGAAATAGTAATCCGCCTGGGGCGAAATAATTATCCGCCCGGGCGAAATAGTGGACCAGAATTTGTTTTCAGTTATGTCCTAGACACGCTTCCGTAGAAATGTGATGCTGCATGCAGTGTGGACTCTGGATAAGATTTTAACATTCTAATTTTGAAAAAAAATCTTGATGGCGTAACTCACGCCATGCTCACGCCGCGACGTACGAAATGATTCTGTTTTACCCCAGACACCACTTTAAAAAAAACCGCTGATGTAAAGCACAGGACAGCGACAGACCATTCCTCATTTGCATACGTGTTCAAACATTTTGAGGGCCGAAACAAAAGTAAAATCTTCTTAAATCTTAATCGTCTTATAAGCCACAAACGAACCGAAGCCGCGATTTCGAAAGGGCACATATTCAGCGTATAGCGCCCCCTTTTGTTTTGCTTTGGTAAACGTTTTGATAAAAATCTCGCGAGATGGCGAGTTTTGAAAGTTGATCACTCGATGAATTCATTCAAAATGTGCACAATGCAGAGTACCAGTAATCCGGAACCGTAAAGTTGTTGCGAGAGTTTAGAGCACGATCGATTGTATGTGTCCATCCGGATGAAGTTCAAGTCCTGCCAAGGGTAAATTTTGGTTGAGTTTTATTCATTTTTTGTGTTTCTTCCTCTTAGAATAGTACCTGTAGTCTTCAATTAAAGGTCATATGATATTTTTAGATATTAATGTAGTATCCTGACGCCACAGAAACGGAAAAATGGTGGTGTAACGTCATGAACGTCATGGACGTTCATGACGTTTTATACATGTAGCCATTGTAGGCCTACTCGCCGGGCTGCCCTACTCGCCCATGTCGCCGCGGTCGGTTGTCGGCAGCAGTTCCGGTACGATTTAGGGTATGACTAGGCCCGCCGAACGGCCCCCACGCACGGCCTAGACGACCCTGATTCTCGGGGTCGTGGGCTGTTTTCAAAGTACTGTCATTTCTGTTTTAGGTGTCATAAATGGCTGAAACTTGTCATGCTTGTGTATCCTCGAGAGACCAGTTTTCGCGGGTATAGGGCTTTTTCTTTGTTTTGAAAAAAATTAACAAGTGCAAGATACCAATGGATGTCCTATTTACCTTCCTTAGTTCATGGGCAATATGCAAACAACAATAAAAACTGGACGACCTTCGCAGTTTTCACACAACGGAACGATCTCCGACGTCCTCGCGAAGCGCCTCCACGCGTCGAGCGTGACCTATTTCCGTGGGTTGCGGGGGGTACGGTGTCCCGGTAAAGTCATACGTGGAATAAATGTATGTCATGACTCGGCGTGTCTCCATCAGGCTCCATTGTCGGTAGCTATCTTATATTTTCCAAAAATCAACCTTCTATACTTCGAAAATATATCATATGGTATTAAAGCTATAAATTTCAAATGAAAAATAAATAAATGACATTTTACATATTTTTCTTTGCTTTTCTACTTTCAGGTTTTCTTGAGTGGTCGTGTTTTATTTTTAATTGTAGCCTATTTCTTATTAAACCTAAACCTCTGTAAATCATAGCTGACCTCATTTGACCTTCGACCTTTGACATGAAATATATCCTACATCATCTTTGGTACTTAATTAGGTCAATTTTTCATGTAAATTCATACGAATAGGCCTACTTAGGTAACGAGAGTAATTAAAAAAACATTAAATAATTTTTAACATACGAACACAACGGTCACAGGAAATGTTAGGACTGGTGTCTCCCGAAACATTCTTTTGGGCAACACAAAACTTCAATCGGCAAACTTGTAAATGTAATTTATAAATGGGCAATTGAAATGTATCGTTTCGAGTTTCCTGCCTGGAATATGATCGACTTAACGTACATTCAGTGATCTTGCCTTTTTTGGGGGGGGGGGGGGATTTGCCGGGAAAAAAAAAAGATTGCTGAAATGGGAAGTTTCCTATTTTTACTAAAAAGTTGGAAATGAAAGCAGTTATCCCCAATGGACCCCTACACATATCCCCACTTTTGAAATATTAAAAAGGTTTCCAGCTGGGGTCTTTATTTGTTTTCTTTTTTTATGACGATAATTTCTCCTCTGAAAATGATTAAGAATGAATGAAACTGAATAGCATTTACTGATCTGCAGGCTGCAGACAAGGGAGACCATGACAGGGACAATAAAATGTATCCTTTGCTCGTAGACGGGTTACACTACAACAGTACTTGATGTGTGTCCAGTGCATGCAGTTCTCGAACATGCATTGGCCCCACGAGGTGAAGTAGATGGACTCAGCGAGTTCAATGGGGCGGACTCGGCGACAAACACAGCACTTGTCAGCAGTGTCATCGATATCCGAGGCGCTGTCGTTATCAGATGATGGCGGTGCTCTTGTTGAAGCGATGATGTGTTGCAGTGCGGGAGGACTGCTTGGGCCAGGTTGTGACTGTTGAGAAGATATGGTGTGAACCTTCTTTGCTTTTGTTTTGAGTGGTCTGGATGTTGGGGTTTTCTTGCTCTCGGCCTGATATGCAGCGATCTTGTTCCTGCATACCTCTTCTGTGATGGGCTTTCCTGATACCACAGAGCTAAGGCATCGCCTCTTTTTTGGAACCTTTCAATATAGGAAACATAGGCAGCAAATAAAACAATTATTTCCTCACAGAAAAATAGACATAAAACAAAGTAATTGAAGCCGGGAAAATTCCTGAATTAAAATAGTATTATAAAAACTTAAATTTTATAAAATGATCGCAAAGAGAGCGACATGTACCTTTTTTCTTTGTCCGATCGAGTCTTCTCTCTCCTTAAACAGATCTGGTCTGACATCATGGAGGCCACCATCTGCAGATGAATGGTCACCTTGCGGGCCAACCTCCGATACTTGGGGGAAATCCCCTTCTTTTGTTGCTGGGTTAGAGGTGCACTTATTTAGAGCTCTAGCCGGAGCGTACATGGCACGATCAACGACACCACTATTCAAAGGGTAAATCCCTCCTTTCTTGAAAGAGCTCCTTAAGTTCTCTGGAGAGAGTGCCTTTGTATATGCATTGCATGCAATCTCACAGACTGAATATCTATCAATCCCTGTCGTTGAGTTGGCTCGCATTTGTCGGTGGCAGAGGGAATTATATATCTTCTCAAATGGCCCAAAGCATGCTAGATCAAGTGGCTGTAGGACGTGACTTGTATGTGCAGGCAAGACAAAGAGCAAGATGTGTTGATCTCTTGCCCAGTCAATCAGTGGTAGGTTGATGTGAGATCGATGACCATCATAGAGAAGGAGTATTGGCTCATCTTCCGTTCGGCTCGCAGTGACATACATGTATTTCAAGAAGTGTGTTGAAAGGTATGTCATGAAGACAGCAGTATTCGACCAACCACTTTCGCTGACGGTCCCATCTGTTCCAGGTAAGCAGCCATTGAGTAGCTCCTGCCTCATACGTTGTCCTGGGAATACAAAGTATGGAGGTACTTGCTGACCCAGAGCATTCCCAGCACCGATGATGGTAACGGTCATCCCTCTGCCGCTTGTCACAGCAAGTGGGGTGGATGAGGAGGACGAACCAACGATGAAAGGTGGGGAATGGTTTTGTTTCAGACCCTTTTCGTCAACATTGAAGATGCGTTCAGGTGCATCCTTCAATTTGTATTTTGTCAGCATCTCATCGAGCTTGGCGAAGTATGCCATCACTACTTCTTCAGAGGTTGCCTTCGCTCTGTACAGATCCAGGCTGCGTGGCTTCTTGACACTCAGCTCAGGCCATCTGGTCATAAAGTTGCGAAACCATTTGAGGCTGAGTGGATGATCTTCGTCCCTTTTGTTGAGACTGACAGCATATATTGTGGCTGTATCGATAACTTCGGCCCTGCTATATCCATAACCCAGTAGCGCCATCTTCTTCAGGTGGTCCACCAAGTTGTTCTCCTCTTCGAGGCTGAACACAGGAGCTGGTCCCGATCTTGTTGCTTCGGGGTCAACCTTCCCCAGAACACGATCCCGTAATGTGGACTCAGGGACCCCGTACCTTCTCGCAGCACCCCCAACTGACCCATTCTCATCAATCATGAGACAAAATGCTTTTGACAAAGCTGTTGGTGAGTAGTTTCTGTAAGAAGTTGTTCTGGATTGCAACAGAGGGCTTGTGCACATGTTCTATAGGATAAGAACATTTATATAGATTTTGCTATTGGTGTCACATAATCAGTTGCTCATAAAACTAGTTAATATAATATTTTAATATAATATAATATTTTATTAAAGGGAATATACAACATTTGCAAACATCGAAAAATAAAACTACCAAGTTTTGGCGAAATACCTTAATAGGATGTTGGTAAATGACAGTCTAAAGCATCCTGTAAAATTATGGCACCTGGTATACTGTCATTTTCAAGAAAAGTGGTATTTTTGTATCAATTTCCAACGCTGATCGGCCGATCAGCGTTGGAAACAACTGGCTTTTTTTCAAATACTGGCCCCAATTGACCATTGCACTTGTTTGCAATCGATTACAAACCTATGAACGGGTACGAGCCAGCTAGACTGGTTCCCTGACCTTACAATTCCCCAATGTATGTAAACTGCTCTGTTTCTTCTTATATGGAGTCAGGGAACCAGACTACAGGAAAATGATCGTTTTTCTTGGTTTTTATAGCATTTTCGAACCCAAAACCTCAAAAAAAGTCAGTGTAACTATATTTGCTACATGTATATATTTCCAATCCCCCAATTCCATCCATTTCTGAAAATTACAGCAAAAGCAAATGATGTATATTCCCTTTAATAATCTTCTTTTTATCAGATATAAATCAACCTTTGTTGTGCATTATTGTTGAGTTTGGAGTAATTATTTAAGTATTTATTTAAGTAGGCCTATATCATTCATTTTACTCTGATAATGTATAGTCTTATTAAAGAAAGCACAACACACGCTCTTTTCATGAACAAATGTATATTTTTAATATCTCACATGCACATTAATAACCGTCTTATACAAAATAAGCCTTTGCTGTATGTTAATTCATTCCTTCATTTTGAGGAAAATACCGATTTTTCTAGACAGTGAGAAAAATGATATAAGCCACATGTCTTTTATAGGCCTCCGTACTTTTTTCCCAGCATGCTCGGCACTCAAACCAGTCACGTGATTTTGATCATTACGAATTTTTTTCTCGAAACTTTGTAAGCTGAAACTTTCAATGATTATGCAATAATTATTTATGGCTCTAGCAATATAAACATGTTTTGTACCTTGCGAATTAGGCCTAAATAACCCAAATTTTGATATTTACAAGTACAACTTACCGGTAGAGCCTTTACTTTCCACATTTTTGGGTCAGCGGAGAGGAGAGGAGATTGTCAGCAACTAGAAAAGTTTATTTCGTCACGGGGAGTTGTTTACAAAGCGCGCCGCGTAACGCAGAAGGTAAGGACGCGGAAATAGGGCACCGCGAAAACAGGTCCTCCCACGATACAATAAACATTTTCGGTAATCCTTACTTTTAGGACCCCGTTCCTATAATAGGCTATATAGGAAGGGAAAGACTCACCAAAACAGTTGACTAAATGACACTCAAAATTGACATTCTGATACTTCTTGGCACATCTGAACAATTGGCAATGCAATGACACCTTCTT